CATTTATATAACGGTGAAATATTACAGTATGCTGTAATACAGAACATATGGTCCGGGCTAGACGCAAAGATTTCACAATGCAATGCGGGCATTCATTCACAGAATCGGACAGCGATCAGCTGGTCTTTAACGCCAGTATTGCTTTAATGTACATATACAATCATTGGTTGTCACCAGCAACAACAGGTTGCTCGACCGAAGACTCCGGAAGTGACGTAGTATGTGAAGAAGATTAAAAAAAAAATACATTTGTGCAAAATTGACTTAATTTTTTTTATATATGCTTTTTTTGGAAATGTTCTAGATTTCTAAGAAATGTGTTTTTGCACTATTGTAAAACATTTCTTGAATAAAAAAAGGTAAAAAAAAATACACAGTATTCGTAATATTGATGTTTTTGTATAACGTTGTATTTGAGGATTTACACAATAAAGATAACAATAATAATAAAATACAGTTTAATGTATTTGTCTCATGTATTGTGTGCTCGTCGGCCGGCGGCAATCTGAAATGGAATGAAGCCCATTCACGGCCATATAGTTACTCTGATAGACGGCACGAACATGTCCCTCCACCCCCACCCGGGAATAACTACACATAAGCACACGCTTTGTAACAGCTTATGTGGCGTGTCTCTTATCGGAGTTGTAGTTTTAAAGTATATTGGTATATTTCTTACAATTAGAAGTTAAAAGTGTAAAATTTTGGATACACCCTGTGTTTAATTGGGATGGGGAACACACTGGTGTTATCAGATTTCAAAAATGTAATCGTTAAATAGGTAAAATAGCTTGTTTCCATATTTGACAGTGCTTACAGTGGGCAAACTTTGGTGACCATATCTACATGACAGCAGAGGCCCAGAGCTTTCTATAAATGCTGGTCTTATGTGTTTAGCACCTTCTGTTGGTTCAGAGGTCAATATTTCAAAGCAGGAGTAATGTATCCTCTTCAGACTGAAATATGTTACTCTTCAGGTTGAGACCTTTCCAACGATGTGTTTGCTATAGTCCTAGAACAACGTTTAAATTTTTACATATCATGGTTTGCAGATGATCCACTTTGGGCGATAGCCTCCTTTATTGTCCCCAGAGGGATATTTACCTTGAGGTCAAATGCTTCACACATAACACGTGACTTATTGTTTTATCATACAGCTGACATTTACAAAAAAAACATAAACAAAGTGATATGTAGTCAGTCTGAAGCACATCACACAACAACAATCTATTGCTCATCTTTCACAAACAGTGACAAGAGCAACACACAACCATTTGCATTACATCATGAAGCTATTACACAATCAGCCTCAAACAACATTATTTACAGTTTTAATTGAGGTAGGTCCAAATTGTGCTATAGTTTAGAAATGTTAAGTTTAGATTGGGGTACCCATATCTTCTGCCAGAGGATAAGAGCTCATACTTGGTATGGAGAATAAAGATGGATCAGACCACATTCTTTATGCTTGCCTGGAGAGTCTGGTTTCTATTCTTCTCCACAACCTTCATGACAGTCATATTAAAATACTCTGTAATGCAGCCTTTTATAACATTAAACCCTCTGATTCACTGTGAGTGTTTGCTCTAAATGATAACACCCACTTACAACACTGGCCTTCCAGCCAAAGGTATTGTCCATATACACCCCAAGGTGCCTGTAGGAGCAGAGCTGATGGATTGGTTCATCATTTATGACTTCTGATACCTTCTGACCCATGTCAAGACCCTTTCATCAACTTGTGAAATGGTTGAATGAGATGTGTGAGTTGTGTCTGTATGCTGTAAGCTGAGGAAGAAGTGTGCCAAAAATGCCAAAACACATGTTGTATACTGTATGTACACTAACCCTAACCCATAAATTGAAATTTCAAAAAAAGTCATTCATTTAAATTTTAAAACAACTAATAATGCAGTGTGATTTTAAATCAAAGTCCCACCCATAAATATGCTCATGTTTTTTCCCCTTTAGTCTCTGCTATTAACATTTATCAACCACAAAATTGCTTTTTTAAATAACTATGCATGGAAAATAAAATAAATAAAAATGCCTCTTTTTATAGTTTATTTTTTTGTTTTTCACAACAGTACAAGTTACAACAAATCCAAATTAATCAAACAAGCCATTAGGCTGTATTTTTAAACACTCGACTGTAGTTTTTTTTTTTATGTAGTATATAAGGCAAATCAAAGTGCTTAGGTCAGGAAATGTAGTTATTAAAGCAAATCTTGAAGTAATTCAACGACACTTCCCTATTAAACATCCAAATTCAGAAAAATTGGTTTGTGTGTGTATATAATAACCACTATAGTGTCTATAATTAAGTCACATTTTCAAGTTTTGGGCCAGTTTTTGCATTTGTTGAACCTCTATGTACCTTCACTGCACATGAGAAGCAGCTGAATAAGTCCTGTCAAGGATGCTTTCAGAGAGTCAAGTCAAGTCAAGTCATCTTCATTTATATAGCGCTTTTAACAATGGAGATTGTTTCAAAGCAGCTTTACAGAGATAAACATACAATTTACGGTAACAGAGATTGTTTTGGCTTTATAGCGATTTTGAATAATGTTATTTCCGGCTAAAGTTGGTTTTGATTGATTCACTTCCAGCAAAATTATCATTTGTTATTACATTAGGGGCCACTAAGACGACGGCGTTCTCTCTAAACAGACTTTAAACGCGAACCTGTGACCTGATGGCGTTCACATGCGCATTAAAAATTGATTCTATAGTTATATTCGTTTGAATATGTGTGTGCAGGTTTGTAATTTCCCAACAAACCATGCCTAAACAAACTACTTGTCTTGCCTATAAATTTGATACAGAATTTTATTTTATCACTTCGGGGTACGCGAACTGGACCTTCTGTATTCAGAATTCAGAAAAATTCAGAAGAAAATGGGGTTGTGTGCCCATGTTAAACTGTCAGAAAACTCAGATTTGCCACAGCAGATGACATCAGTGGAATTATGTTTATTATTATTAGTACAATACACATATTTACACCTTCCTGTAAACTTTTCTGGCCCACAGCAGTCCACCACATCCCACATCACAACACATTGGCCCATTAATGTGCAGAATATTTTTTAACAAAACTTATAGCATAAAAATATAACACAATACAAAAATAAATGCTATTTAAACATTTATTTTAAGTAACACAACATATATTAGGTCATATTTGTAAAACCAAAGGCAAACAAACAGAAGAACATTAAGACACACAACATTAGCTAGTCAGGGGGAGCTAGAGTCGTCAGAGCCTGCTGAACTGCTACTCTTCGCGCCAAATGTATAATCTGTTAATTTGAAGCATTTCACAGCATCTGCCTCTAATGCTTTCGATGTAAAGGATCAATCTCTCTCTCTCTGTAAATTAAGCCTGGAACACACCAAGCCGACGGTCGGCCAGTTTTAGTGCGTCGGCCGACTAAGTTTTCTCAGTGTGTTCCACACCGTCGGCTGAAATTGGCTTTTTTTCGGCCGATTCGACATGTCGGTGAAAGAGGGAACTCTGATTGGCTGTTCAGCTTAGTGAACGAGTCTTTGAGATATTAGCAAAACAGCGAGCAAAAAAGTCAAAGCAGCACAGATAGAAGGCTGTTTTAATGTTACGTCATATTACCTGAGTGTTCCTTGGCGAATATTTAAATATTAACATGAGCGGAGTGGAATAAAGAAAGTGTTTAGCAGGATTGATATTCACAACAGTAAGCGCGCACTGCTTTGTTTACGTTATGTGTATCGTCGGTTTCTCTTTTTGAATGACGAATATATCTGCAGAAATAGACAGTTGCCTCATTTACACGCAGGCGCAGAACGCGCATTCTAGCTAACAGTCGGTAGTAATCTCGGTGTGTACAAGTGCAGCTTTTTTCCCGCGACACAGGCGACGCGAGGCGACAACACAGTCGGCTTTCATCTGCGCTAGTTCATCGGCGTTGGCTTGGTGTGTTTCCAGGACGTGAAAGAGGGCGTGTTTCACTAACTAACAGGGAGGGAGGGCAAAACACTCACATACTCACGAAACACACTCCTTGTCGGCCGCTCCCGCCCGATCGATTCCCTCATCCATTTGCGTAGAAAAGAAATGTAATATTATGATTTCCGTCATGTTTTTATATATATATTTTTTTTATATATTTGTGTACCGGGCCGGCCCACATTGACCAGCGGCCCACCGGGAAAAGTCCCGGTTCTCCAGATGGCCAGTCCGCCCCTGCTGCCCCCTACGGTATCAGAAATAGGGCTGCATTGTTAGTGCATGTCGGAGAATCGCGCGGACACACACTTCACACCGCAAGCAGGCACGCCATCACTCAGCAGAAAAAGTAAAAAGAGATGCTGTTCGGATGATAAACCAGTTGAGATTGTGTGTGTACTTCCTTGAGAACCGTAAGTCATATAACTTATGTTTTAAGTTCATTTAAGCCTGGTCTTGTAAATTTTAATTAAGTTAAAGCTGCAGTCGGCAAGTCTGGCAGATTTAGTGGACTTAGGCAAAATTTTGAATGTTTACAACTCTCATGCCCCTCCCCCACTATCAACGGATACCCTCCCACCGAGTTCATGCTCGTCAGTGCGTGTGCATCAGATTTTCAGTGAACGCGCCCGTCTCATCAGCATCCATCAACACCATGGATTATTTGGAGGTATGCTGTCCTGGCTAATCTACCGATAGATTGCAATTGCTAACGTCATTTATACTCTAAATGAGCTTACTTAATTTGTTAGTGTCCGAGGAAATGGAATCTTTTCCGCCATCATTCGTCGTTACTGCGCGAACTTCAGGCGTGTGCATGTGATTGTAACGTGCGCGAGGGGCGGCGTGAGCCCGATCTTTGATTGACAGTCAGATCTCACACACCCCCCCCTGCGCTGATTGGACCCGATGATCCTGGAGCTGTGGATTTTTGCAAAACAAATAACACGCTCCAGGTGGACTTAGAAGCTCGGGTTTTTTTCTAAAACCACTTTATTAATGTTAAATGCTAAAAACAAACAAACAAAGGAAACACTGACAAATATAAGAAATCAAACCAAAAGTGAGTTAATGGTCATTTATCACTTTGAGAGCTCCTCAAACTGACAGTCCTCAATCTGACAGTTCAGAATCACTGTCGTATCCATCCCAATCATTCTGGAAGTCCATACTTGTTCCAGTCAAAACTTGAGCATAACAGTCTCTTGCATGCTTCATCATTCTGGTGACTTCTTGTTTCTTTCTCAATGTTAAACTGAGGAAATCCTTGATTCCTTCTTCATTTAGAGCCCACAGCTCACCTAATGGGAGTAAAACAAAAAATTATCAGAAAAAAAACTACAATGTAGAGTATAGTATTACAACACATTACTTAAATACGTACTTTGCAATGCCTCACTGGAAAGCTGGGATGACATCTCCTTGAGTGTGTCTGCACGAGTGGAGAGAGATTTCCAATGCTTTGCCATCTCAGAAAGAACAATCTTCTTCTCCTCAAGTCTCCTTATTGCCATCACAACATCAAACGCCTTCCTCTTGGTTTTCAAATCTACAGCGTCTGGGATACAGTTGTGGAAAATAAGTAAATTGTAAGTATGATTATTTTTCAAATAATATTTGAAATAATCTGGGATAAGGCATAATTGGTTTTGTGCTACTATGTGAATCAAACAAAATTGTCAACAGATTTGTGTACATACCACCATGTGAAAGTTGCCATGGCCAAACTGTCTCGTCAGAGAGAATGATGTCAAAGACGATTCTTTCTGTGTCTGGAACCATACTGTTGTATTTTTCAACGACAGAGCTAAGAATGGCTTTCTCCTCTCTGATTTTGCGCCGAATCCGGGCCCGATCTTTGCTGCCATCGGTGTCTTTGTAAAGGCGCTGGGACCTTCTTTTAATGCTGGCCACCAGCACCTCCATTCTACTGGTCACCGCGTCAAGATCGGCATTCTTTTGGGATGTTGTTGCTGAGAAGAAAAGAAGTGTAAACATTTCACTTACATTTTCATGGCAGTAACTGAAACGAGCTCAGTGTCTCAGTGTAACAGAACGCCACAGGGAAGTCATAAGGATTATCCATCTTTGCTTCTTTTTTTTCCTTTATATAAAAAAAAAAAGCTCCTGGAGGAAGGACAGGTGAGTCTCAATAATCATTTCATATTTATTAGCGTGTATAGGAAGTATGTAACAGGGTACCAAAGAAAATGGCAATGTAGCCAAGATGGGATCCACTAACTGCAAGAAATGTCGGAAACACTTTATTTTACGGTGTCCTTGTTACTAGGGATGTCCCGATCCGATCACGCGATCGGAAATCGGGCCCGATCACGTGGTTTCAGACTCGATCGGAATCGGACGTTACCTCCCGATCAGGACTCGGATATATGTAAATTAGGGGTGTAACGGTACATGTATTCGTAATTATTGAACCATTTCGGTACGCATACAAACCGAACGATTCCTAGGACCATTTTTCCTGCAGACAAAATCCGCGCTGGCGCGACCACCACAACCTTGCGCAACATCAAATGGCAAACGTAATGAAAGCGGAACGAAACCTCGCTTCTCATTATATTGTGCTTAACGGACCATTTCAGTTCGGACCAGCAACATCTGTGCAGCGCGAGATCAAGCGACACTGTGCTAAGAGATCCAGAGAGGAAAACATTTGAATTCGCCACTGAAGTAATAACATCGCTGCGAGATCTAGTGAGAAGCATTCACATTTCTCCGTTATTAACCGTAGATCTCTATTAGATCAAACAGCGCTGACGTGGGAACCAGGAGAAACATTGTGCCGTGAATGAACATGGATTTAATGTTGCACTTCAAAACTCAAATATTATATAAATATATATTTAAATGTTATTTTTAATGTGATTACCGAAACATTATTTGTTCATCCTTCAAAGATTACCCCCATTTATAAACCTGAAAGTTTCAAGATGTAGGAAAACTCACACTTATTTAAAAATAGTTTTTCTTTTAATAAATAGGAAATTTCTCTGGCATTTCTTTCTTTTTGCTGTATCGTATCGAACCGCAAATTTTGTGAACTGTTACACCCCTAATGTATATATATTCTCATTATTTTGTTATACACTTTTAAAACATTTTTATTTTTTGTTTACATGCCTGCTGGGTATTTTAAGTTGAGGTGCTATTTGTTTTTATATTAGACTTTTTCTATATTTACTGTTGCACTAAAGTCCAAAAGTGAAGATTTTATGTTATTTATTACTTGATTGTTCAAGCAACCTCACAGAAATGCTCTGTTTGTTGAGTTGTTGAATGTTAAAATAAGGTGAATTAAATAAAAAAATAAGGAACATCCTGGATGTTCCTTATTTTTTTATGTATTATATAAGTATCGGATCGGGACTCGGTATCGGTAGATACTCAAAATCAAATGACTCGGACTCGGACTCGAGGGCAAAAAAACCTGATCGGGACATCCCTACTTGTTACATATGTTACATGAACTTAAAATAGTAAAAACAATAAATTATGCATAATTACATGTTACTAACCCTCAACCAAATCCTAATCCTACCCTAACCCTATAGTAAGTACATGTAGTTAATTAATATTACTCCGTACTTAAATGTATAATTACACTGTAAGAAGGACACCTTAAAATAAAGTGTGACCGAAATGTCCAATGTTCCAACTTTTATATAATAATAATAAACTTTATTTTATATAGTGCCTTTAAAAAGTATCTCAAAGCGCTTCACAAGAATAAAAACATAAAACATACAATTAAACAAACTATGCATTTCTGACAGAAAAACTTAATAAAATACAAAAAAATAAAAACATTATGAAATATAGGATTAATAATAATAAGACAATTATAAACAATTATGTAAAAGCTACCCTAAACAAATAAGTTTTAAGTGATGTTTTAAAAACACCAAGAGATTTGGCTTGCCTAATCTCAATAGGCAGGGAATTCCAAAGTTTTGGAGCATTCGACGAGAAGGCCCTATCACCCATGGATTTTAGTCGGGTATGCGGAACAATTAAAAGGCCAGCTTCCAAAGAGCGGAGATCACGTGCTGGTGTGTAGGGTGTTAAAAGTTCAGTTAGATAATGAGGTGTCAGTCCATGCAAGGTCTTATAAGTAAGCATTAAGATTTTAAAATCAACACAGGAAGAATCTGACAGGGAGCCAGTGTAAAGATTCAAGTACCGGACAAATATGGTCCCTTGTCCTGTTTCCAGATAGAACAGTCTGATCTCATGAAATGGCGTATGTATGACACGCCAATTCGTATTTCCATTTTTGGCGTGCTATCAACACGCATAATCGCTTTTCAGCGTGTTTATCAACGCCGTTGACATAAACGTTATATTACTGTATATATAAATATATGACCTACCCCAACCCCGTCCCTAAACCTACCCGTCACTGGGGATAATACCATTTATGAGTCTTCCCCTACCATCCTAGGGAAAAAAATATCGCTCCCCAGATGTAGATCTACATTTTGCTTTGTTTCGCTCGGACATTTAACGGCGTGTACATACACGCGGAATCACTCGGACATTTAACGGCGTAGACATACACGCAAAAGATGATGGTTCGTTTCGGCGTGGACATACACGCGGATAGCTCAAAATGCGTATAGATAACACGCCACTTGACTTGAAAGTGGCGTGTATGTTTACGCAAAGTCATGATGTCATGTTGGATAGAATTCGAGCGGCAGAATTTTGTACCAACTGCAGTTTGTTTATGGTAGCTTTTGAAACCCCAGCCAACAGAGCATTACAGTAATCAATACGAGAAAATACAAAAATGTTAATTAGCTTTTCAGCCACTGGGAGTGACAACATAGGACGCAATCTGGCTATATTTTTGAGATGAAAAAATGATGTCCTGACAGTGCTCTGAACATGAGGAACAAATGTCAAATTATTATCAAATATAACCCCCAGATTTTTTAATTTAGTCTGAAAATTAAGTGTAGAACCTTCTACACTAAAAGTGGGGGAACCAGCCTTCCGTAGCTGGTGAGGTGAACCAATGAGCATTACTTCCGTCTTATCACTGTTTAGACATAAAAGATTTCTAGACATCCAATCTTTTACCTCAGAAATACAAAAGGAAAGATGAGACACAGCCACATTTACATCGGGTTTTGAATGTATATAAACCTGGGTGTCATCTGCATAGAAGTGAAAACTGAGACCAAGTGATCTTAAAAGTTGACCAAGAGGATAAACGTATATGTTAAAAAGTATAGGGCCCAGGATAGAACCTTGAGGGACACCAGAATGCACTACACCAATAGCAGACCTGAAACCACCCATAGCAACAAACTGCTTTCTATCAGAAAGATAGGACTTAAACCAGCTTAGTGCAGTGTCAGAAACACCAAAAACAGATTCTAACCGAGTAAGTAAAATATTATGATCAACAGTGTCGAAAGCGGCACTAAGATCAAGAAGAATTAAAATAGAAAGGTTGCCGGAATCAGAAGCGATTAACAAGTCATTTAACCTTAACTAATGCTGTCTCAGTGCTGTGTAGTTTACGGAATCCTGATTGAAGGGGCTCATAGAGATTATTTGCAGCTTGATGGGAGTGCAATTGGGTAGCAACAATTCGCTCTAAAATTTTGGCAAGAAAGGGAAGATTGGAAATGGGACGGAAATTATTTAGATTGTCAACGTTTGTGTCTTTTTTTTTGGTACAGGAGTCAAAGCAGCAGTTTTAAATGTTGCTGGCACCACACCAGTGCACAGAGAATCATCGAAAATCATCGAGAAATCACGATCGACGCGCGTTCACGGGTGATGGAAGTCGGCGTACGAGGTATGACGTAGCGTAGGAACCGTCGTGACGTAGAACGAACGCGCCTGCGCAGCCAGAGTGCAGAGCAAAACAAAACTACACTCAGTTCACCCGTGAACGCGCGTCGATCGTTGCCGGAAGTCAGATATTTTCATTTATAAAGTTTTAAATATGTATATTTTTACGACAAAACCACACGGATTACCCTCAGAAGGCCTTCGTTTATGCCCCTGGAGCCGGATGGATTACTTTTGTGAAGGATGTATGCACATTTTGGGACTTGAAGAAGGTGGACCCCATTGCTTCACATTATATCCACTAAAGGGTCTAGGACATTTTCTAAAATAACTGAAAATGTGTTCGTCTGAAACAAGATTGACATATGCATCTCGAACGGCTTGAGGGTGAGTAATGCATGTGTTTAATATCATTTTTGGCCGAACTATCCCTTTAAGAAGTTTGTTAATAGAATAAAACAATTGTCTTGGGTGGTTCTGATTGTTATCGATTATCTGTGCAAAATAAGCAGATCTGGCCGATGCAATTTGGGTCTTATATTCAAGTAAGTGATCTTTCCAAGCCTGGTGAAAGACAGTCAAGCCGGACATACGCCACCTACGCTCCATTGTACGACAGGATGTCTTCATAGCACGCAGGTTTTCATTGTACCAAGGAGAGGGTCGACCAAAAGAAACCAGACGTGATTTCAAAGGCGCAAATAAGTCCAGGCCAGACGAGAGAACAGAGTTTAACATGAGAACTTTGTCCTGCAGTGCATCAGATGAAGTAAATGCGCTCAAGGAAGAACCAATAAAATCTGAGAATTCAGAGGGTTCAATCGATCTCCATTTGCGATAGTTAATAATGCGAGAAGAGGTAGTGTTTATATCAGGCAGTTCAATATTAAAAAAGATAGACAGATGATCAGACAGCCCCAAGTCAGAGGTGTACAACTGTGACACAAATGAGCCGTTTAAAATCACCAAATCAAGAGTATGGCCTTTATTATGTGTAGGACAGTCCACGAGCTGGTTCAAATCGAAGCACTCCAATAAAGATAAAAATTATTTTGTTGTTGTGGAATCTTTTTTTTCCAGATGGATGTTAAAGTCCCCCAAAATTAAAGTTCTCTCAAATTTGAGGCATAGCAAGGACAACATATCTGCAAATTCAGATAGAAAGTCTTTATTTTTCTTAGGAGGCCTGTAGACTGTAGCTATGGCAGTGGAAATGTGGGCAGATACACTCAAAACAAGACATTCAAATGAGTTAAACTGTGGAACAACCACAGGACTCAAGCTGAGTTGGTTATTATATAGCACAATAATGCCCCCACCTCTTCCAGAGGACCGCGGGAGATCAAATAAGCCATATCCAGCAGGAGTAAGTTCATTAAAAAGAACACCATCTGACTCTTTGTGCCAGGTTTCCGTTAAACACACAAGATCGAGTTTACGTTCTGTAATAATGTCAGATAGTATCATAGCCTTGTTATTGACAGATCGTGTATTGAAAAGCACCGAGTTCACCAGACGGGGAGCAGTTGAAACCAGAGAAGCAACCTCGCGCTTGGGAAACAACAAGTTGTTGGAATTAACCCCCCTAAGCCTACACAGTGTTTGAGATTTGCGCAGAAATGCAGGACAAGCAACAGTAGTAACAGCTGAGAATGAAAAGCTGCGTCTTGAAGAGCGATGTATATAACGTGTCGGTCGTAGTATTCCAGCATGACTGCAGAGAGTGTATGTGTCATTCGCCAGATAAAAGTTACCCTTAAGGTTCGACAGTTGGCGAACAGTGTAGCTTAGGGCCATGTTGGAGAAGTCCACACCAGCCGGGACTTCACAGTGGTGCAAATCCTGGGAGGGACAGCAGAAGCGGCGATTCCAGCGAAGAACAGTCGGTGATAAAAGCAGTAATCCAAAGAGTGAAACGTAATTCCACATCATAGAAGCAGTAATCCAACGGATGAAGCTTAATTCCTCCTCACGATAAAATAGGCATTCTTCGCATACTCCAAAACTCTTAATGAATGCTCATCGATAATAATAATAAAAACAAACAAACGGGAGAAAGGAGCGGCAGCCAAAACACGCCAGCGTACCCTTCCAACTGGAATGAAAAATAAAGAGGCAGGCAACTATTTTGCCTGTTCTGACACATAAAGCATCTGGCAACTTTTGGACTGTGCACCATTCAGGAACTTTCAGGGCACTTTGTTTTGACATGATTTCCAGTGTGCATGCACTACATACTAAAATTTGGCATTTTAATCGCACAAGTACATGACCAAGAAAACAGTGTATGTATGATTTCATTTTAAAATAGTAATTACTTGCAGAAGCATGTCTCCCATTATTCTGCAGAACTGAGACATTGAAATAATAGTATAACTATCACCTTCTGCCCACTCCTTAATACCAGTGACCCAGCCCTCAATTTCAACCTGTGTCACTGCCAGCTGGATTCTCATGCTTTCCAGGTCCTGAAGTTGGCTTTCCAGGCGTTTTGTGGCCTTCAAATAACAAAAAAAAGCAAACGAAAGAAAAATGTTATACCTACAAAAATATACAATAGAAGGTATTTACAATATAAGAAAATAACAATACTCATCTCTACCTTCTGATATCGGCAGGAAAGTGAAGCAGCCAAGTTATTAAACTTTTGCTGATTCCAGCGCATGGCCATCAGTGTAAGCATATCTGTACGTCCTGCAAAAAAGAAAAAAAATATACTAATCTGTGTTGTACCACATGTCCCTCACTGGCTACAATTTTTTTGTAACACTTTCAATCTAAGTAGTGCAGTGTGTGGTTATCTTACCTGCTTTGGACATGTGCTTCGTGGTCACAGCAATCCTAGAGAGGAAGGCGTTACACTGCTCAACCTCCTCCCCAAGTGTCAATCCGACCCCTTGCTGGTAAGCTCTACTCCATTTAACCTATTGAAGAAAATACTTAAAAGCTGCCAACATATATATAATTCAAGTTTGATATAACTCTCCCCACGGGGTCCGGCCGGGCTCAGCCCGAAGGAGCGACGTGGGACCGCCTTCCCGTGGGCTCACCACCTGCAGGAAGAGCCGTAAGGGGCCGGTGCAGAGAGGATCGGGCGGCAGTCGAAGGCGGGGGCCTCGACGACCCGATTCCTGGACACGGAAACTAGCCTTAGGGACGTGGAACATCACCTCGCTGGCGGGGAAGGAGCCTGAGATCGTGCGTGAGGTTGAGAGGTTCCGACTAGAGATAGTCGGGATCACCTCTACGCATGGCTTGGGCTCTGGAACCACACTCCTTGAGAGAGGATGGACTCTTCACCACTCTGGAGTTGCCCATGGTGAGAGGCGACGGGCTGGTGTGGGTTTGCATATAGCCCCCCAGCTCAGCCGCCATGTGCTGGAGTTTACCCCGGTGAACGAGAGGGTCGTTTCCCTGCGCCTACGGGTCGGGGATAGGTCTCTCACTGTCGTGTGTGCCTACGGGCCGAACGGCAGTGCAGAGTACCCGGCCTTCTTGGGGTCTCTGGGAGGAGTGCTGGAAAGTGCTCCGACTGGGGACTCCGTCGTTCTACTGGGGGACTTCAACGCTCACGTGGGCAGCGACAGTGACACCTGGAGGGGCGTGATTGGGAGGAACGGCCCCCCCCGACCTGAACCCGAGCGGTGTTCAGTTATTGGACTTCTGTGCTAGTTACAGTTTGTCCATAACGAACACCATGTTCAAGCATAAGGGTGTCCATCAGTGCACGTGGCACCAGGACACCCTAGGTCGTAGGTCGATGATCAACTTTGTGGTCGTTTCATCTGACCTGCGGCCGTATGTCTTGGACACTCGGGTGAAGAGAGGGGCGGAGCTGTCAACTGATCACCACCTGGTGGTGAGTTGGATCCGATGGCGGGGGAGGAAGCTGGACAGACACGGCAGACCCAAGCGTACTGTAAGGGTTTGCTGGGAACGTTTGGCCGAATCTCCTGTCAGAGAGATCTTCAACTCCCACCTCCGGCAGAGCCACGACCGGATCCCGAGGGAGGCTGGAGATATTGAGTCTGAGTGGACCATGTTCTCCGCCTCCATTGTCGAAGCGGCGGCTCGGAGCTGTGGCCGTAAGGTCTCCGGTGCCTGTCGAGGCGGCAATCCCCGAACCCGGTGGTGGACACCGGAAGTAAAGGATGCCGTCAAGCTGAAGAAGGAGTCCTATCGGGCCTGGTTGGCTTGTGGGACTCCTGAGGCAGCTGACAGGTACCGGCAGGCCAAGCGGACTGCAGCCCGGGTGGTTGTGGAGGCAAAAACTCGGGCCTGGGAGGAGTTCGGTGAGGCCATGGAGAAGGACTATCGGCTGGCCTCGAAGAGATTCTGGCAAACTGTCCGGCGCCTCAGGAGAGGGAAACAGTGCCCTACCAACGCTGTTTACAGTGGAGGTGGGCAGCTGTTGACCTCAACTGGGGATGTCGTCGGACGGTGGAAGGAATACTTCGAGGATCTCCTCAATCCCGCCGTCACGTCTTCTATTGAGGAAGCAGAGGCTGAGGGCTCAGAGGTGGACTCGTCCATCACCGTAGCTGAGGTCACCGAGGTAGTCAAGAAACTCCTCGGTGGCAAGGCACCGGGGGTGGATGAGATCCGCCCTGAGTACCTCAAGTCTCTGTATGTTGTGGGGCTGTCTTGGCTGACACGCCTCTGCAGCATCGCGTGGCGGTCGGGGACAGTGCCTCTGGGATGGCAGACCGGGGTGGTGGTCCCTCTTTTTAAGAAGGGGGACCGGAGGGTGTGTTCCAACTGCAGGGGGATCACACTTCTCAGCCTCCCTGGGAAAGTCTATGCCAGGGTACTGGAGAGGAGAATACGGCCGATAGTGGAACCTCGGATTCAGGAGGAACAGTGCGGTTTTCGTCCAGGCCGTGGAACACTGGACCAGCTCTATACCCTCTACAGGGTGCTGGAGGGTTCATGGGAGTTTGCCCAACCAGTCCACATGTGCTTTGTGGATTTGGAGAAGGCATTCGACTGTGTCCCCCGAGGCGGCCTGTGGAGGGTGCTCCGGGAGTATGGGGTCCCGGGTCCTTTGCTAAGGGCTGTCCGGTCCCTGTATGACCGAAGCAGGAGCTTGGTTCGCATTGCCGGTAGTAAGTCAGACTTCTTCCCGGTGCATGTTGGACTCCGGCAGGGCTGCCCTTTGTCGCCGGTTCTGTTCATAATTTTTATGGACAGAATTTCTAGGCGCAGCCAGGGGCCGGAGGGTGTCAGGTTTGGGGACCACGCGATTTCGTCTCTGCTCTTTGCGGATGATGTTGTCGTGTTGGCCCCCTCACACCAGGACCTTCAGCATGCACTGGGACGGTTTGCAGCCGAGTGTGAAGCGGCTGGGATTAGAATCAGCGCCTCCAAATCCGAGGCCATGGTCCTCAGTCGGAAAAGGGCGGCTTGCTCACTTCAGGTTGGTGGAGAGATCCTTCCTCAAGTGGAGGAGTTTAAGTATCTTGGGGTTTTGTTCACGAGTGAGGGAAGGATGGAACGGGAGATTGACAGACGGATCGGTGCAGCTTCTGCAGTAATGCGGTCGATGTACCGGTCTGTTGTGGTGAAGAAAGAGCTGAGCCGTAAGGCAAAGCTCTCGATTTACCGGTCAATCTACGTTCCTACTCTCACCTATGGTCATGAGCTTTGGGTCATGACCGAAAGGACAAGATCCCGGATACAGGCGGCCGAAATGAGCTTTCTCCGCAGGGTGGCTGGGCGATCCCTTAGAGATAGGGTGAGAAGCTCGGTCACTCGGGAGGAGCTCAGAGTAGAGCCGCTGCTCCTCCACATCGAGAGGGGTCAGCTGAGGTGGCTCGGGCATCTGTTTCGGATGCTTCCTGGACGCCTTCCCGGGGAGGTGTTCCGGGCACGTCCCACTGGGAGGAGACCCCGGGGAAGACCTAGGACACGCTGGAGAGACTATGTCTCCCGGCTGGCCTGGGAACGCCTCGGTGTCCCCCCGGAAGAGCTGGAGGAAGTGTCCAGGGAGAGGGAAGTCTGGGCATCTCTGCTTAGACTGCTGCCCCCGCGACCCGGCCCCGGATAAGCGGAAGAAGATGGATGGATGGATGGAAGTTTGATATAATTCAAGTTTTAGACTTCAGCATATGCCGGTGCTGAAGTCTAAAATGTTTTAGTAGGTCATATCTACCAGACAGAGATAGACTACATGCCTTACACTTCCACATCCCTCCCACACCCCCACTCCAATAGAAAAATAAATCTAAACAAACTGGGCAAATACAGGTTTAGCTGGACCCTAGCATCATAAGCATGTCAACATTGGAATCAGTCAGTAAGACAAATTCACTGTTTTAGGCCAAAACTATTCAGGTCTGGCAAAACTTACAAATAACCATTGAAATCACAAACTTGATGATGGCCGATGACCCCCTTCACCAGTACTCATGTGGTTGGATGGCACACAAGTGACGTTCTGAAAGAGATCCGATAAATGTACAACCATTAAAATATTTAATTTACAACCATTAAAATATTTATGTATTTTGTATTCAAAACTAAAATATACATTTTATCATACGCATTTCAAAGTTAAGGATTCATTAGTTTGAATAAAGCCTACATTGGAACCAACACTATAATAACATCTTAGTTGATGACTTTATTTTTGACAAAACATAATATATATATTTAACATGAGCAAAAATTGGCGAACAAAAGCTTATTTGATGTGGCAGTAGTCTATTTTACAGTAAAAAAATTATAATCAATCCAAAACTTGTCAACGAAATGTTGTCTTTCATATTTTGCCTGTAACATAGGCATATCGTGTTGTTTTTATAATATTTGAGGGCATATAAATGTTAATTTGCAGTTTAATACGTTGCTTATGCAAAGACATTTTATTTCAAACATATTTCAGTCGATTTTTACTCATCTCAGTATAGCATTATAGTTTGGTAAAAGCTGTTCATTAATTCACACACAGACGCGATTCATAAAACAGTCTTTTTGCTTTAGGGTTAGGTAATTATTCCATATCGCGATTAGAACAAAGCACTTAATAATAAAAAACTTACTATTCAGTTGCTCCTCGAAATTAATTTAAACCAGCACTTTGGAGGTACATTTCCCAGGATTATTCCTCATAGCCTCGCAAGACGACGTAAAGTACTGTAATCTGATTAAACTTGTTGTGTTTTATCGAGTTGATGTGGGGGCGTTGACACGTTTGCATGGATCGCCTCAGATCATTTGCATTTGAATAGCCCGCGCTCTCCGTGGGCGTGGTCACAATCACATTAAAAGATAATAAGCTATAATGAGCTGAAATGAGAACGACTGATATCTCTCTCTTTTCATACAGATTACATTGTTATGAATCAGATAATTTAAAAGTAGACACTTAAATGATTATAAAGATATATAGTTCATGCCTGGGTGAATAGTATTCGCTGCGTTTTGTTTAAGTTTTGAGACGTGCTCCAAAAAAGAAGTTCACGGTGACGGAGAGCCCGAAAGCACACCGTTTATTTTCTTTATTTTACAAAAGCACAATGTTTTATTTCGATTGTAAGTGGACACATGAAAAGAAGACATTTAACAGTTTATTTTTCATATTTCTTAAGTATGTATGACCAATAATGACGGAGTATTTTAAGTCTATTTTGCTGCTGACATTAACGGCCTGAGTAGCCTACAAAAATAACAAACAAGCATGACCAAATATTGCTAAAAATGATGGACAGTCTGTTGATGCCTTTATACACATTGTTTTGTTTGCATTTATGGATGAAAACAGATTTTATCTTACCTTTTCCAAATGAACGCCAGGCAAGTTCTTCATGTGATAGTCTCGTTATTTTCCTGGGCATGCGGTTTGTCATCTCGCGTGATCTCGCTTCTCCATCTTCGGTGCAAGATCAGTCTGACTATATTGAATCACGTTATCTCAACATGACTGAATTTAACTAATGTTAATTTGTTGCATTTCATGCTTAACCTACATGATTTTATCACGTTCACCTTTGAAACATGAAATTATTTAGTTAAAATTACACGTTATGCTTTTTTAAATGTAATAACCAGCTAATTTCCTTTTTTTGAGTGAACATACACTCTATGAAAATGGTAACTTCTTCAATCAGTACAGTAATCAGTACAATCAATGGTTAAAACCATACCATAATGGTTAATAATATAAAAACTGAGTACATTGGTATTGTTGAATATAACTTTGAAAAAACATAATATAAAAGTGAAACTTTGGTAGTAAGATTATATGGTCAAAAAAAGGAGATCAAACAGAAGAAATGTTTCTGAACATAAGTGTTTGGAATGACATGAGAATTAGTAAAGATATAGAAGTATTTATGTCTGTGGGAAGTACTTCCTTTACACATGAAAATAATGTA